TCTCCTAACCTGCAAAATGAGAATAAATCAGAGTCTCCTAACCTGCAAAATGAGAATAAATCAGAGTCTCCTAACCTGCAAAATGAGAATAAATCTTCCACCAGATCACTGGGAAGATACCCGGGAAGATACATGGGAAGATACACTGCCATAATTTTGCTCTTTTGTGCATGTGGTGAGTGGTGGAGCGAGGCCCAAGATCGCTCCACTACTGTCCAAACCAGGGCCCTGTGTCTGGACATGGTTGCGGTCAGAGGCATCACTGTGCCCAACACCTCACCGCGCCACACGGCACACTAAGATGAAGAGGCCAGTTCGAGTACCCAACGGCAAACGATGCACCAAATGAAAAATGGAGTGCAACTTCCCACACTAAGTGGGAAGATGCATTCATTACTACTCATGAATGTGCATCTTCCCACAACTCCATTTGTTTTTTTTTGGGCAATGGCGACGGTCTCGAGACATTGAACTGACTGGCCCCAGGCAATTCAGAAATATTTGGTTTTCCTCATCACAATTTCCATCATGTGGATTCGAACTCGGGTCTGCATTTCAAGTTTCGACAGGATACAACCCCATTTGTTTGTTTGCTTGTTTTCTTTTTTTCTTGATGTAGCAGTTCCTCTGTCAGCCCAAAAAAAGCATTGGTGCCATCCTCCAACAAGGAAGAAGAAAACAGAAAAGACAAAGGGAAATCAAAACAAAAAAATCCACCGGCATAGAACTGCCAGTCACCCACATTGAAGTACCCGGTGCCACAGTGCCACTTTGCAGTTCGTCTATGGCCAGCTGGCAGGCACATGAGACGAAAGAGGTTTGGCAGCCTGGAGGAGGCCCTCAGGGTACTGGTCGTTCAACATGTAGGTCTGGTATTTGGCGTGATGGGTCTAGGATAGTTGTGTGCAACCTTGCACACTTAACAAGCAAAAAAAAAAAAAAAAAAAAAAAAAAAGGATGCTCAGACCTCCTCTGCCTTTGCATTCAGTCGCTACTTGCCATGCTACTCCGCGTATAAAGTGGGGATTGTCGGGGTTGCGTGTCCGTAGAAAGGCTGCAGCTCTCCTCCTAATTTGTTTTCGGACATCTGGACAGAATTGTTCAGGGGTAGGGCTCTGCCTAGAATCAAAGTACCCCTTGCATGCAGTGTTGTTGTTGAGATGGGGTTGCAGCCTGTACTGTTTAGGTTGATTCCCAGGAACCTGAGGGGAATCTTGGGGTCTAACCATTGCATACCCTGTGGCATGATGTCCAAAGGTGGCAGGTTCTCCGCTAACCACTAACCGAGCGTTTTTTTCAAGTTGACCTTCATTTCTAAGGCTCGTTCGAAGGCTTGCGTAGCTGTCATAAATGCTTGAAAGGATGAGCTGGTCGGCCAGATGAGAAGTGTTAACACTCTTTAAGTCGTCAGCAAAGAGCGTTGCTGTCGGTAGATCCAGATTGAGTCCCCTTTTTGTACTATAAAATGATACTAGTCTAGAGCTCTCCTCCCTATACCGAAAGCGTCTAGAGCTCTCCTCCTTTTACCGAAAGCCCATCTACCCTCCTCTCTTTTATCCACTTCACTCTCCTCCAAGGTAATCCTCTTTGATGTTGCCCATTGGCTGTGCACCAGTATTGCAGTCCCTGATGAGTTAGGCCTATTTGAGGTGCCCAGAGTGTTTCCTTAACGCGTCACAATTTGCACTGGGCCGTCTGCAACCAACGACACTCAAAACTGTGCAGTATAGAGCCAGAACACACTGGCTATGGCTGCACCCAAACTCTCTCCTTCAGCTGCCAAGATTGGCGCTGCTGCTGCTCCTCTTCACTCCACCAAAATCAGGAACTGAAAAATGAATGAACTGTAGTCCTAGCCCGTCACTTTTTGTTATGCCAATTTTGCCTGGGCCTACAAGGTCCTCAGGGGCTCTGGCCTATAGAAATTTGGAGGTCTAGGTCCTATAAGGTCCTATGTGTCCAAGATGTCCCAGGTTCAAATCTGCCTGGCAGCAAACATGAAAAACAAAAACAAACACAGCTTGTTTTTGCTTCACATTTGGGCCAGGTCTTGGGTTCAAATCTCCCCGAGACCAACAGTTAT